TTCTTTCTTTCTTTCTTTCTTTCTTTCTCTTTCTTTCTTTCTTTCTTTCTTTCTTTCTTTCTTTCTTTCTTTCCTTCTTTCTTCTCTCTCTCTCTCTCTCTCAAAAATAAACATTGAGGCGCCTGGATGACTCAAGTCGGTTAGTGTCCGACTTCGGCTCAGGTTATGATCTCACAGTTTGTGAGTTTGAGCCCCGCGTCAGACTCTGTGCTGACAGCTCAGAGCCTGGAGCCTGCTTCAGATGCTGTGTCTCCCCCTCCCTCACAAATGTCTGTCTCTCGATAATAAACATTAAAAAATTTTTTTAATAAAAAAATGAAATAAAAAACATTAAAAAATTAAAAATAAAAATAGTATATGCTTCTTTACGACAAAGACAAAAATATGTGATATATTCTGCTCCCATCCAACGTCCTAAGTACTCAGTGTTAATAGTATATATTTCCCCCCCCCGCTAAGTACGGAAAAATATTTATATAATTTTTAGAAAAATTCGATTTTTAAAAAAAACTTAACAATTATATCTTATAGATACACCATATGAGCAATACCTTACTCAGACATTCATTCACTTAATAAATATTAAGCAATTAGGATGTGTCAGGTTATTTTATAAAGAGCAGGCTTGGATTGGCAAATAAGGCAAATAAGGTCCTTACTCTTGAGAAGATTCCATTCTAGTAGGAGAGACACTTTCAAACATGGTGGAAGTTCTAATATAGGAGAGATTAGTGGGTAAGAGCTGAGTTAGGGCCTAAGACTTAGGAACGTGTGTGTTTCAAGAAAAGAATAATGACACTTCACATATAAGGGAGTGGGAGAAGTCACAGAGCAAAAAAGCAGTACAAACAATATGTGCTTCAACTGCAATTTGTATTGACAGAATGTAAAAGATAAGGATGGTCATTTAAGGTGTCAAGCATGCAAAGCCACAAGTTTTTATTGATATATAACTGGCATATAACACTATTAGTTTTAGGTGTACAACATAATGATTTAATATATGAAAAATACTGAGAGATGATCACTGCAATAAAGTTAGTTAACATCACCTCACGCTTATAAATTCTTTCTTGTGATGAGAACAGTTAAGATCTACTCTCTTAGCAAATTTCAAATATACAATACAGTATTGTTAGACATAGTCACGATGATGTACATTACATCCCCAGGATTTATTTTTATAACTTGGAAGTCGGTACTTTTTGACCACCATCTCCCATTTCCCCAACAACCATCCCCCCAGATCTCTGGCACCCACCAAACTGTTCTGATTTGTAGCCAGGAGTTCAGACTTTTTTGATTCTACATATAAGTAAGATCATACAGTATCTGTCTTTCTGACTTATTTCTGTTAGCAGAACAGCCATAATATCCATCCATAATGTCACAAACAGCAGGATTTTCTTTTTTAATGGCTAAATAATATTCAAATGTATGTAAATATGTATCACATTTTCTTTATTCATTCATCCATCAATGGACAATTAGGTTATTTCTGTGTCCTATCATAAATAACGCTGCAACGAAGCACTGAGATATATCTTTGAGCTGGTGATTTTGTTTTCTTCAGGCAAATACTCAAAACTGGAACTGCTGGATCCACAAATTCTGAGCTAAAGAGTTTATATCTGTTCTGATTAAGGAAACTGAGGGTATGTGCTGCCTGTTGACACTTCACACCATCCCTATCTTTTAATCCCTCCTGTATGGCAGGATCTAGAAGCATTTCCTATACTCCCTTACCAGCAGGATTCCATTTTGAGAATCTACCACCAAGAGACAGTTATATACAATTTTAAAGGTGAAAGAGATATAGAAGTCATTATTCTCCAGGGGCAGCTGCACATAGGTATGTGGTCACCAGCACATGTGAGGATTTGCCAGTTGCTTCAGGCACTCTCACAATCATTCACCGTGCTGCTACATCTTGAGATCAGCACTCAATTTTCTACAATCCCGCACTTTCTCATTTCTTAGGGTTTTGCAATGACTTGCCTCTACAGGCAAATCTAAACACCATTTTTTCTTCTTTTTAGTTGGAAGAAACCTACTGACCAGATTGGGGGTTAAAAGTTTTTAGACTAGGATATGGAGAATGAGGAAGTTGAAAAGCAAAGCCATTTTAGGGCAGAAGATGCTGAATTTGGATCTAGACAGAAAAGAATCTGGTGATAATATGAGGACATCAAAGCAGAACTATTCTGTAATAGCTGAACTATGGATTGAAACTATACATATACGTTATATATACACATAATTCATATTTGGAATATGGAGTGTGTGTACACATGTGCGTACTACTTATTTGTCTGTTTATTGGAATCTGCCCAAGACATAATAGCTAAAGAAACAGGGATATACAGACTGAAAAAATAAAAGGAAGAAACAGAGAAACCTAAGACCAAGATTTGATGGGTCCCAATAAGAGACAGAAAAGGAACTAAAAACCTGAGGAAAAAATCAGCCAAAAACTAGAAGAATCTAGTTTTAAGTAGTACTGCAAAAGAGAAGAACGGACAGTATTATCAGGAATGATCAAATTCATTAAATAAAACAGAAGTAACAAGAAGACTGAGTTTTGAGAAGTTTATTCAAGAAAGAGATACTGTCAATTGTCAAGAGAAAATTCAACCATTATTACCTTTTCTTTTCACTTCCCTAAACTGGAGACAGTTTTTGTACCTTTTAAGAAAGGTGATAAAGAAAGTAATGGAAATGTACCAATCTTAGTCCACATTACCAGTAGAAACTACCTATCCATTGCCACTGGAAATGGGGAGTATGGGAGTACTTTCACCCAAAATGCAGTCAGATCTGCATACCATACTATATGGGTATTACTGAGGATGGGAAGAAATTCAATACCTCCTGAATGGAAACAAACACTTTGTTATTTTATACAAGCAGAGATGAACCAAGGCTAGAAAGAGGAGTAGGTACAGATGAATTTAAGCCCAAAAAAACAAAGCAACATCTCTCACAACTCTGCCGTAGTGTTACTGATCTTTTGGGCACTCTTACCAAATGCTATTATCTTTGATGTAGAGTTTATAAAACTGAAATAAGAAATGACTGCGCCTTAGATCCCTGTTATTCAGTACACACATGCAAATGAACATGTACAGAATTTTCCCAATTCCACTACACTTGTAAAAACAGGTAGTCCAGTTGGATGTGCTACTACCACTCAGCTTTGTTTTCA